ACAGATGCGAGCGAGTGACAAGCGTGAAAGCTGCGTGCGAAAAGCTCAGTGTTTTGGTGGAGAAAAAACGAGTCGAAAGTGGATTTCTGTGCGCATTTTCTGGTGTTTCGTGATGTTTCTTAGATCGCAGCGATGAGTGATCGCTGTTGAAAAGTGAGACTCTACGTTGAGACTGTTTTTTTTTTTGTGTTCGTTTCGATGCGGAAGGCTTAGGAGGTGGAGAGGAAGAAGAAGAAGAGCGCTCGCCCCGCCACCGACGTCAGGTAAGAGAGTTCAATTGTTTTTCTCTCTCGATTGTGTTTTTATAATTATTGTTCATGTGTTCTTCTCGTTTTTGCCGTCGTTCAGGATGATGGAGTCAGATATATGCAGGGTGTGCAGATCGGAGGGACTGCCCGACAGACCACTGTTCCATCCATGCATCTGCACGGGCAGCATCAAGTGGATACATCAGGAGTGCCTGATGCAATGGATGCAGTACTCGCACAAGGAGTACTGCGAGCTGTGCAGTCACAAGTTCTCCTTCACACCCATCTACTCGCCGGACATGCCTGGCAGATTGCCACTGAAGGATCTCGCCGGAGGCCTTCTCAACTCCATTGCGACGGCGATGAAGTTCTGGTTGCATTTCACGCTGGTCGCGATCGCCTGGCTCGGCATCGTTCCCATCACCTCTTGCCGCATCTACAGGTCGATGTTTACGACCGCTTTCGACGTCGGCGAGATGTTCTCCACCGAGAACATCACCACGGACATCTTTCACGGATGTTTCATTGTCACGTGCACGCTCTTCTCGTTCCTGGGACTGCTGTGGCTCAGGGAACAGATCCTCCTCGGCGGTGGCCCGGATTGGCTCGAGCGGAATCCCTTCTTCCTGCAGGACTTACCCATCATCGCGCAGGAGGGAAACCCTCAGCAGGAGAACAACAATGTTGTAGGCAACGAGCAGCAGCAGAACCCTGATGCAGCAGTTGCAGCTGGTCCTGCTCTAGAAATCAACGGTCAGTAAACCATTTCAATTACTTTAATTGTTGCAGTCCAAAGTGCATTTTGATTTAATCATTGATTTCCTTAATTTGCAAAGTGATTTGCAAGTTGTCATTTAATTTATGGTCATCGAATTCAGCAACAATTTTAATTGCTGATTGCAATGAAGTGGAATTTTGTTGACATAATTATTTTTATTAACTACTTTTTATTTGTCTCGTAAATTGCGTTTATAAAAACGTAATTAATCGTTGTATTTATTAATTAATGATTTTTTTTTGTTGCAGCTGAAGCAGGAGGCGATGCACAAAACGGCGATAACAACTGGGATCAGTTCTACTTTGATGAGGATATATTCGGTAACGGCGAGAATAATGCGGCTGCTGCTGCTCCAGCTGATGCGAACAATGCTAATGATATTCCTGAGGTGCAACCGGCGCAGCCCGAGGAAGCGATAGAACCGCCGAGAGGTTGGTGTATTCGGAGAAAATTAATGGATTTGTGTGTAACAAGTATTTATTGCAGATGCTGTCGACGCTCCAAATGCCAACGAAGAAAACAATTGGATCCCCATGGAATGGGACAGAGCGGCCGAGGAGTTGTCGTGGGAACGATTGTTGGGTTTGGATGGATCGCTTCTTTTCCTGGAGCACATCTTCTGGGTTGTTTCATTGAACGCGCTCTTCGTTTTGATTTTTGCCTTCTGTCCATATCTGATGGGTGCGTAACTGCAGTTGCATTTTAAATTGTAGACTGAAATAATTGTTGTTGTTTTCAGGCGTACTCTTCTTGAAGGTGTTCAGTTTGCAGGAGACTGCGTCCGAGAGTCACTTCGAGGGATTGCTTACAACGCTTATGGGCTACTGCTTGGTGGGATTCATCTTTCTGGTGTTCCACCACATCGCCGCTGCGCTGCGACTCGGTAAGGCCCGTCGTCTCCTCGGTCTGTGCTACATAGTGGTGAAGGTGGTGTTGCTGAGCGTGATTGAAATCGGTATTCTGCCGCTGGTGTGCGGCTGGTGGTTGGACATTTGCTCGCTGACGATGTTCGATGCCACCTTGAAAGACCGCGAGACCTCCTTCAAGGTCGCCCCCGGTACTTCGATATTCATCCATTGGCTCGTCGGCATGGTCTACGTCTACTACTTCGCCAGTTTCGTGCTGCTGCTACGCGAGATCCTGAGACCGGGCGTGCTCTGGTTCCTGCGCAACCTCAACGATCCCGATTTCAGTCCCATCCAGGAGATGATCCATTTGCCGATCCTGCGTCACATTCGGCGACTGCTGCTCTCGATCGTGATCTTCGGCAGCGCCGTACTGCTGATGCTCTATCTGCCCATCAGGATGTTGAAGATGGTCGTGCCCACGTTCCTTCCGTACACGATCGCGTTGAACAACGAGCTGCAGGTGAACGAGTTGTCGCTGGAACTGCTGCTGCTGCAGGTCATTCTTCCGGCGCTTCTGGAGCAGGGACACACTCGTACCTGGCTGAAGGGATTGGTGAAATGCTGGTGCAAGTACGTGGCCTGGGTGCTGGACATTTACTCGTACTTGTTGGGCGACGCGGAGGACGAACAGGAGCAGCAGCAACAGCCGCCCGCCCCACAGGTCGCCGGCGGTTTGGGCGCCGCTCATCAGGCCCTCCTCATGCGGGACGGACCAATTGGTAATATAATTGCGATATTGTAATTGCGGTAATTAATTGATGTTTGCAGGTTTCAGACCGTACGTGCGTCCGACTCTGTTCGCGGCTAGGATTGCCGTGCTGCTGGTGTTCGTGTGCGTGTCGCTGATGATAGGAAGTCTCGTGGCGCTCACGGTGCCGGTCGGCATCGGCAGGAAGGTGATGGCTCTGTGGTTGGTCGGCGCTCCACCGCCCAGTCCGCAGGTCACGGCTTCAGGAGGCAGCGGCGGCGGTGGCGACGAGCAGAACGCAGTGATGAAAGTGCACGAGCTGTACACGGCCGCGTGCGGCACCTACATCTGTTGGCTGGCGATGCGCGCCGTATCTCTGTTCGTCAGTTGGTTTCCGCAGGGCAGGGCGGCGATGATGCAGCGTCTGAAGCACTGGTTCGTGTTAGGAGCTAAGACGATAGCGGCGAGCGCCGTCCTTCTCGGTCTCATCCCTCTCCTGTTCGGACTCCTGCTCGAGCTGGTGGTGATCGTGCCGTTGCGCGTACCCCTCTACCAGACGCCCGTCTTCTTCGTCTGGCAGGATTGGGCGCTGGGCGTCCTCTACACGAAGATCGCTTGCGCCATCACGATGATGGGTCCCGATTGGGCGTTGCGCACGGCCATCGAGCGCGTCTATCGCGACGGCATCCGCGACATGAATCTCCGATTCATTTATCGCGAGGTGGCCGCCCCCGTCGTCGTCACGTGCGGTCTCGCGCTCGCCGTCCCCTACGTGATCGCGTACAGCGTGGTGCCGCTCTTCGTGTCGAACCTCTTCACCACCGATCTGATCGGACGTCGTCTGTATCCCTTCCTGCTGCTCGTCATCGTCTCGACGGTCATCGTCACGGTGCAGGTGCGCCAATTCAAGCGTCTCTACGAGCACATAAAGAACGATAAGTATCTGGTCGGACAGCGACTCGTCAACTACGACCATCGCAGGTCAAAGATGGCCTCGTCGAAGTCGGCCGTCTCAAAGACGACGACGGCTGCTGCGGCGCCGCCCCCACCGCCGCCGCCTCTCTGGCCGAACGACGACGAAGAGCAAGCGCCCGATCTTGTCGACGCTGCCGCCGCCGTCGCCGCCCCCGAAGTTAACTGAAACCGTTTTTTTTTTTAAATAACTTTAGGCAGACCAAAACGACTTGTAAATAACAACCGAAGCGGTCTTACTCTCTTCGTTCATTCATGATCTTGAAGATGAATACTATCGGTTTACACCATTTCACCACCCCCCGCCCTCTAAGAGTAATTACAAAAACCGATGACTTAGCGTAATGTATATATAAATATTATATGTAAAAAAGAGAGAAAGAGAGAAAATATTAGTTGAGAATAATCACTCGATCGCACTAATCATAATTAGACGACGTCGCCACCCCCAAACACACCTCACTCATCGTTGTGCACGGTAGATGTTTTTTTGTAGTTTTTATCCAACTATTATTAATTTTATGGTCTAGTTTTATTTCTATTTCTCGGTTCATTTTATCCATCCGGCAGAGGCGGCGGCGACGGCCGTTTAATCATCATCATTTGTTTTTTTTATTCATTTTTTTTTAAAATTAAGTTCTTCATTTTTTTTCTTTGATTTTATTTTACTCATGTAAATAATATACAACACGACCCCGCGAGGGCGTTCATCTACACCAAACGAAACGATCCACCCACCTCTCATCATCGTAATCGTCATTCGTTTATCGTTGTTAAAATTTGCTGCGCGAGTTGCATACGCTTTCTTGATTGCTGTATTAATACACGATTATCGTTGATGTGCGTGCGTGGATAAGATTGCGACTGTAGGAAAACTTTACAATTATTCTCTTGTAATTATTAATGGTAACAGCAACAACAAAAAAAATGAAACAAAGAACATTTATTGTCGTCTTGTTTAATGAAATGATCCTGCATTTGTTTTTTAATTTAAATTTCAAATTTTACGTCAGTCCGAAAGTAAATAGGTTAAGTAGGTAGGCAACTCTATGTTCGTATTAGATTAGACGTTACTATAGGCAACTCATGTTACGTAATTACATTTGCACGTGTTTGTTTCAACTAATAATTGCGTGTCTTTGTTTTTAAATAAATAAATATTTTTTATAATAAACTAAATTTAAAGTTTTTTTTAAACATACTGCAGATTTATCGCAAACAACTTTTAGTACATTATGTTTATTACACCTGATCTAACGTTGGCAACAATACATATTATAGATAATAATTTAAAAAAAAATAAACATTATTTCACATAAAATCCAACTATTCTTATGTAAATTATGCAGAGGATTGAAAATGAACGAGAAACGAAACTAAAGTAAATATCAAAGGTGGAGAGAAGAGAAGAGAAAAACAAGTTGCCAACATTCGCTTATCATAAATACTAACGTTCTGTTTTGTGAAAAAAAGATACCGCGTCTCGCGAAGCTGTTTTACATCCGAAAGCTCTTCGCGTGCGGAACAAACGGCGATAAATCGCGTCAGTCGTACCAATAAAGTATACACGCCGAGAGGGCCGAGCCCATAGCATACCATACCACCAACATCACACGTGATCCTCCTTATTGCCAACCTTCTAACGAACCCCCCACACCGCGCAATACGCAGAGCCGTACTCGCAACATTTACCAACCAACAACATCAACAGCAGCAGCAAATCACATTTAAATTTATTCATAGCGTCGTTAATATTTGTCGTAGGGAAATGATTTATATAGAAAATTGAAGATAATCAAACGAACTTTACAATAGTATTGAGTTTCTTCCTGCATGCAGCAGAAATGTAAATTCGTAGATAATGCGATGATGCTCGGGCACGACGCGACGCAAGTAATTGACGTTCGTTACCTATGGCAACTGCAGAAACAAACGATTGTTTGCGCACGGACTACGGATAAATGGTGGAGATAACAAAAAGGAAAGACAGTAAGGAAGAGAGAGAGAGATCTTCGATAGAAATATTCTTCCTTCGATTGTTTTACAAAAAAAATATCATTCACGCCAACGCGATCATTCTGAATGCATCGAAAAACAAAACACGAAACAAACGAATTAAACATTAATGAACGCCGACTTTGATTCTTTTTCACAATTCCGCCCATCTGCGGTCATTTAAATCGCCGAAACCTATAATTTGCAAATTTTTTATTATTGTTTCTCTCTCTCAATTTCTTCTTTCGTTTTTAATAAATGATCCTCCTTCTCCTCCACCTGCTCATCTTTTCTATTAAATTATGTTCTCGTTTTCGTTGTTTTTTTCTCCTTCTTTGTTGCTTCTTCTTCTTCTTCTTCTTTTGTTTTTTTTTTTAAATCCCGCTGCGGTAAGATCAGATTGCAGACGTAAACGTTGTAATTTAGGGCTTCTTTTCTGCCCCAACCGGGTTTTTCCCCACGACCGCACATAACGACGCACCTTTCGCAAAATGAATGTGCTTCTTCTTCTTCTACTTCTTCTTTAAATTCCTTGCCTTTCGCATTTACTTTTGTCTCCATCTCTTCCTTCCTTTTATTCACAGATTTTTAATTGTATACAAAGTACTATGATTATTGACGCAAATTCAGAGATAAAAGCAGTTATAATCAATTAAAGGTAAGTTGCAAGTTGAATTGTAGAAGACATTTATTAAATTCCGAAACAACTGCGATGGTTTTATGTTGAAAACAAATGTTAAAATATTTATTTTTCCTTAATAAATCCTAAAATTAAAAACAATTTTTATCTTTTATTTCAAACTCTACCTATTCAATTATTCAAAGAAAAAAGAAAAATTCCCGAAATTCCACACATTCCAGAAACGTCAAAAATAAAAAATTCCAAACATTCCACACATTCCAGAAACGTCAAAAAGCAAA